GTAATGATAATGGTCATCATGGTGATTAATGATGATTAATGATGGTATCATGATGGTGATACCCTCTGGTAAATTAACAGTTTGCGAACTGGAAAATTGCCCATAGAAATAGATGGTTTCCTGAACTTAAAAATTGGTGGATTTTCCTTATTTTTTGTATGTTTTAGCCAATTTTGAATGGTTTCACCAGAGATGTTTGGTGTATAAACCCCATGAATTATAGATACATGCACTATTAACCTAGTTTCCGACTTTGAAACCAGCTTGGCTACGTAGAGCATCTGACGTGGTGTAAACTACCAAAGAAAATGGGACTTTGTGGAATTTGAAATGGTGTCAGAAAGTAGTTGAAACACACCCCTGAAATGTAGCAAAGAACCTCAAGAAGAGGGTGTGGAAGATTTTACGACGTAGGGTTCCTTTTGAATTTTAGGGTTCCACTTTAATATCCTGTGGTGAAAAAGAAGTGATTAGCAAGAAATGTCGAGACATGCAAAAAGTGATTGGTTGGTGGTTTGGAACATTTTTTTATTTTTCCCTAATATATGGGATAATCCTTCCCATTGACTAATATTTTTCAAGAGGGGTTGAAACCAGCAACCAGATTATATTATATATACACATGTTTTTCCAGATACCCTCTGGTAATTTGTTACATAGCTACTGAAAATGGCCGTAGAAATAGTGGTTTTACCCATTAAAAATGCAGGATGGACATGCCTGCATTTTTCATCATGGCATCCAACATGAGGGATCCCAGGGATCCCAGGTTCGTAACGATGATTGTCATCTGTCAATAGATTTCAATACAGGCCAGCCCCTTGCAGTAGCGCATTTACATTGCTGGTTGGTGGTTTAGAACTGATTCTCATATTTTTCAAGATGGTGGAAACCACCAACCAGATTGATTTGCATCATATGCTAAAATATACAAATGAACATCAATCTGCTGTATATATATCTATATATATATAAATATGTAGGCGGTTTATGCAGGTCCCTTACCGGATATCAGACTGTGTCAGAACTTACCAATCAAACCATTGATGTTTTTTATGGGAGCTTCAGCTTCCTACTTCGATGTGCATTACGCGAGTCCTTTGTGACTACCATACGGGATAACCGGATAACCTCTTACGGAATGTAGCCTAGTAATATGATGTAATATGAATGTAATAATGTGCATACTGCTTATTCAATTTTACATTATGTATATATACATATATATATATATGTATGTGCATGTATATATATATATATTTACAAGGACAGAAATATATAGTTCTGTATTATCTACGTGCTGCACGTAGGTCCCGCTTTCCCAACTACCATGCGAATGCACAAACTTCGACCAAATTCATAGGAAGTTTTTTCCAGTAAGCATGGTCACATGGTTTCCCATAACAGAGGATCGTCATCAATCCACACATAGGTGTTTTTTCCTTTTTTTTACATAGCTATGGAAAATGGTTCACTTACAGATGATTTATGATGACTTATCTTTTAAAATTGGTGACTTTCCATAGCTTCGTTGAATTGTCAGAGGGTTTTTTTTGCCCACGGTTGAATTGTAATCTCATCCATGATGGTAGGTCCCATGTTTTGACCATGGCTATGCAAAGACGGTGGTTTCCAATTGTCGGTTTAGAATACCCTATGGTAAATAAACATAGACCCTGAAAATGACCAGTTTTTAGTGGAAACTAATCTTCCAACCCCCATCTGCCAGGGTCTATGTTAATTTACTGGAGTTTTTTTTTTTTGAATGGGGCAACTGTCGATTTTTCATAGCTGCTTGTTGGTTTGGAACATGAATTTGATTTTTCCATATATATATATTGGGAATGTCATCATCCCAACTGACTTTCACTCATATTTTTCAGAGGGGTAGCTCAACCACCAACCAGATTGCTAATTGAAAATGGGATACCCTCTGGTAAACATACAAAAAAACTATGGTTAAAATCACCATTTTTCACGGGGTACCCGAACCTGGGAATTTCACATGGAAAATCACCAGGTTCCGGCCGATAAATATGGGATCTAACTGGGCCATAGCTTCGCCATGTGAAAGTACTGGAGGAGGGGCCCAGTTATTAGAAGTTTTATATCTTTGAGAACCCATCTATACAACTAGAAATTCTAGAAATCTGCCATAAGCTCATAAGCCATGGTTAATCAAATTATATGCCAGCTTAGCTATTTACTAGAAAACAAATAAAGTTATAGGTTATAGGGGTGTTATCCCAACTTATGAAGGTTTCATGGTTGTATATAAGTGATACCAATCTGCAACCTCAACTGCACCCCCCAAAGTAGGGGACCCCACCAAAGAGCTGTCTTGCCCAGGTTCATCGCATTGATGTGCATGATTATGTACCTGTCCGACCCCCGGTCTTTTTTGAGCTTGAGATTCACGACGGGTCAAGTTGGTCAAGTTCAAGTTGGAGGGCCGTCTTTTTGTTAGTCCCTGGTAACTACAGTACAAAGTGGTGCCCCCAAGATAGCCAAGTTGGTTTATAGTTTATAACTCCAATAACTATGGTTTTTGTTGGTGATATATCTATACTATATATAGTATTCATGGTATTTAGAAACCAACAAACATAACTCCGGGGCACCACCTTGTAGGCGTTGTGTGTTTAAACCTATACGATCTTGAACGGGATTGTTACCCTCTGGTTATGACTAACATAGCCATGGAAAATGGCCCATTTATAGTAGATTTTCCCATTAAACCATAGGAACATGGTGATTTAATGGTGATTAATCCATGATTAATGGTGATTAATGGTGATTACCCTCTGGTTATGACTGACAGTTCGCCATGGTATAGATGGCCCTAATCGAAATAGATGGTTTACCGAACTTAAAAATGGGTGGATTTTCCATGGCGAACTGTGAGTCATAACCAGATTTTGTAATGGGATTGGCTGAAGGAACACGGTAGTCACAAAATCCGTGGTGATTTCCCCACGATTTCTCCCGTTGTAAGGTTCGGACCTTTAAGAAATCGCCCAATCCTTTGACACACATAACTAGGTCAATCTTAGATGGATACTTTATATAGTTCTTTAGTCCTTTGGGATTAATGGAAATATCTACTAACCAGCAAAGAATTTATTTTTTTGCAGGGTATCTAAGATTGGCAATGATAACTCACTTGGTGAATTCGATCGTTGACCCTCCGGTCAACGTTTACATAGCGAACTGGAAAACCAGCTTTTTTAATAGGTCAATCAACTATTTCTTTGGCAATGTTCAATAGCAAATTCTCAAATTACCAGATGTCATGGGGAATATAACTTCAGCGAATGGCTTGTTCTAAAGCACCAAACACAACTGAACGGCGGGCGCCTCAGCCTCACCCTTGTAGCAACCCTCCCAGAAATGCCAAGACGCTGGAAGGAATCCGGGAACTGCCATCCTGGAAAGTTGTTGTTCGGTATCTTTCTGGGTGTTACTACTCAACTGATCCGGTCCTGTTGATTGGTTATCAAAGACGATTGTGTGTACTTATTTGGTTTATTGGGGATTTTTTCCCACAATAGGGGTACATTTCAACTAACCAGAATAAGAGGATGGTATTTGGGCATGTTTCATGGCCAATTGTAAATCCGGGAGCCAGAGGAATGACACGATGAAGAACTACAAATAGACCCAATTATAATGCAATATGTGATCCTTAGACGATCATTTTAGTCATGTCAGCAGAGCATGAAGCAGGCCCCGGTGTTGTCGGGCATTCTTTTCCTGCAATTTGTAATTGTGCTATTTGGAGGACCCAAAGACCAGCTTTCACAGAATTGGATGCAGGGAAAGCATGGAATATGTGTTTTGGAGGTAGAAACTCTGGTCTCTTTCAATTTTTGGAACCATTCTGTTCAAGATTTTGCAAGCTTGTGCTGGGGTCATGGACTTAGTCAACTCGGTAGAATAGCAACTGGCTGATTCCAAGAGATCGGGGGGGTTATCCACATGTTACCCTCCGGTAATCAAGTCCGCTTTGGTAGGTGAATGCACCACGTTAATCCATTTTTATGCGGTATAGATAGACTATGATAGACTATCCAGCTGGACATGTGTCACACAATGTTTTCTGATTTGTCCGTTCACGTTGGTATTTCTGTTTAGCAGTAGTACTTAGTCTCGGCATTAAGTTTGTAATTGTGAGAGTTTGTGCCACTCTATCTATTTATATTAATTGATTTTCAACAGTGGCTACAGTAAGGTTTTTGGATTGGGGGCCTTTCACCCTATGGATCCAAATGCTTCAGAAGCTACTTACCCCCCTCACGAAAAACTGCTCCCTCAGAAAGTACTCTCATGCAATCTGACAATTGGCTATGGAAGCATGGCCTCTTTACTTACATGTTTTACCATGTTTAAGGATGATGGTCCTCCTTTATAACTAGGTCATCTATGGATATCTATTGTGTATGGAAATAAAAACCATTCAGATAAGCTGGTTTTTCAACCGACAAACATAGCTACAATTCCTCACCTTGTTGAAGGGGCTTTCTTTATGCACTCCTTTGAGGCTGAACTATGCAGACCGATACAACATTTCAGCCCCTTGAAAAAGCGAGTTGGGGCACCTTTTTGTTTTTCCGACCTGCAGGATCCGGTTTTCCGAATTTCCACAAGATGAAGGATGTTTACAATCATAAAGGGTGGTGTTTACATTACTAGATGACCATGAATAATAAGCCATTAAGCCATGGTTTGACATTACTAGATGACCAATAGCTGACATTAATCTGGGTAACTTATAACGACCTCACTATAATTTCAATGAAATGGTGGATCCTGTTTAAGGTGGTAACTGTTATATAGTTATATGATTTGTTATGTTCCCAATGGACAGATCCACCTTTTTTGGGGAATCTACAGGAAATATGATGGATTAAGAAACTGGTGGGAGACCTGAAACTGGTGGATTAACCAAGGGACTTGGGGTACCATCTGATCGACCAAGCCAGAACTGGAGGCTAACTGGGGCTAAAAAAAAGCGATTATTCTACAATGGATATATCTAGATCAATATCTGGTGGGTGGTTTGGAACATTTGGAGTATTTTCCATATATCGGGAATAATAATCCCAACTGACTAATGTTTTCAAGATTGTTAAAACCACCAACCAGTTATAGTTGGGTTGAACACAAGCAAGGAAAATCATAAAGTGGGGGGTGAGCCCCCACTTTGTACGTATGAAATTTGGAGGTGTTTCAGAGAGGTCAGGAAAACCCCGAAAGTTCTTTGTATCCACGTATAGCTGAGGCAGTTTGACAGCGGGGTGAACCATTTTGATTCATACTCATCTTCGATATGTGTACCCTCTGGTAAACATACAAAAAACTTTGGAAAATCACAATTTTCAATGAGTAAATCCACTATAAATCACCATGTTCAATAGCTATGTCAGCTATGTTAAATTACCAGAGGGTAGTATGGAGATGCAGGTGTATTCTGAAACTTGCGGTCTTCAATCCAAGTGACAAAAACATGAGCTCAAGTTGGAGGCGTATCGAATTAGGTTTGACAATTTACCATCCAAATTTTAGCAATGTGTTTCTCAACTAAAAGTATAGTTACCCTCTGGTTATTTAACATAGCCATGGAAAATGGTTGATTTTCCCAGCTATAAAGCTCCATTTATAAGGAATTTTCCATGGCTACGTTAAATAACCAGATGGTATATATATATACCATGGTATTTCTATCTTCTTTCTCCTAAAAGGCAAAAACGGGAAGATGTTCCCTCGAGAACATGAACTGTTCATGTTCATGTTTAAAATTGGAAATCAACGTCCTGTGGATGGAAGAAATCCTGCACCACCTTGGATGGTTGAAACCCTATAATAATCCTATATAATTCTATAACTAGTGGGATAGACCACCTGTCAACTGGTGCAGGATTTCTTCCATCCACTGTATTTCAGCTTTGCTAGCACAATCCAGCACCCTGTTGAAAACTTCGGCAAGGGTCCTGAAGAACAAAGCAACATACAGCAACATACCGCCGCTTCTCAAACAATTTCCGAATGATTTTCCGATTGATAGAGGAAGTTTTTTCCAACCGCGATTGGATTTAGACATCAAACGTCGGACAGGTTGAAGACAGCAATTCGCCGATATTCGCCGTCTCGGTGAATCGTGGTTCATCCCATCAAAATTTGGGTGGTATTTTCAGACCCATTTCAACAAAACGATGCAATGTGGAACTAGGGATGTTCGAAACATCATGTTAGGTCGGTCAACAATAGATTTATCACTGGAAGCCGCGTTATCCCATCATATCTCTATTTTATTCCATGAATATCATGAAAAATGTGCACTGCAACTGGCTTCGCTGGCTTCCAAGTTCTCCCGACAGCGCGGTTCCCCCTGAAGGTGGCTATTATTAAGATTAGCCAGGAGAGGGGGTATGACAAGCGCGTGTCACCCGGTGGAAGCGAGTTGGGTCGAGTGCGGATGGCGATGGAAGCTGATGGAAACCTGCAGGAAATGATGAAAACTTTCATTGTTCACAGTTTTTTGGATGATGGGAACATTTACGGGAAAAGCCTATATTTGATGGTAAAAACCATGGTTTCCGGTTAAGATTTTCCCTTAAACCAATCCATTGAATTGTGGATGTTCATGGTTGTCATATCGATGTCAGTTTCGTAGAGGGTTATCCAGTTTTAACATACTGTAGTTCACAACCGAAATCCAGGAACGTCGGAAGTCGCGGTAAACCTTGAGTCATCGTGGTAGTCTAAGGATGTGTCTGTTGGCTACGCAGAAATACCCGAAGAGTCACCCATGGGTTCGGGGGTGGAATCCCCATTTTTTGGTTTTTGGGGCTGTTGAATAATTACTACAATGTGGGGCCCCCGTTGGATAGCGTTCAGTTGGTGAACATAACTAACATTTCACTAGGGTGTATAGTAGGTGATATATCTATAGTTAGATGAGGCTATAAACCAACTTATAACTAGGGGGCCTCACATTGTAGGGGGATGGGAACAAGATAGCTATGGTGGGACTACCAGCTACCTTATTCGGTATCATCAAACATGGCATGCTGGAAGATCCCACATGTAGCTCGATGATGTCCCGATAAACCTGAATTTAGGGGATTTTCCACCTAGTCAATGGGAATTCCAGGATCCTAAGATAGAGGTACTGTACCATAGAAAGCCATATTTTGGGGATATATCCCCTTACATAGCCCTTACGTAGGCCTTATATATGGTAAGTACCTCCAATTTAGGTAATTTAGGTACCTGAAGTGGCCATTGAGCTAGCCACGTTTGCCAGCGGATTTCCAAGCATGGTTTCCAAGCATGATCCCTATTAAATCACCATTTCTAGTGGATTATCCTCCTGTGGAACATCAGCATTTTTACTGGATAAATATGGATAAATCAACTTTCAACTATAAATGTGGTTTTTCATCAGCATTTTTAATGGTTTCTTCCATTTCTTTTAGAAACTGACATCATTTGCCCGGACTAAAACTGCTTGGATGTCTGGTCCTGAGGTTCTTGGGAGGGCTTCTGGCTGCCCAAGGGATCCAAGGGGCCGTGTGCAAAAAGTCAGTTTTATGAACCAGCCTGTATATACAATTGGGGTTATATCCATAGTTTTCATGGGATGTATAGATCCATCCTGCCCTGTTTATAAAGCAACAAACATAACTGGGGAAGGGTACCCCCTGTACAACTTTACCTCAAAAAGCGAAGTTGAAGCCGGAAAGATCCCCTGAGGCAAGGATTCATTCAGTCGGCCGTGTATTTTGGTTTGCTACCTGGCAATGCTCCTTGGACCTGACGACGGTGTCGACGGATGGCGGATGAGGGTGAAACCCCAGCTATGGCCGCATGGATAGTTTCTAGAATATGTTAACCACCTTTCATAGCTGTTAGGTGTTTGAAAGTTAGAAATTTCATACCTATGTTACTACGGAACACCAGTCGTTTTAAGACCTATGTTCATAGCTGTTAGTTCATAGCTGGTTTCTAGAATATGTTAGCCTTTAAGTTCTTATGAAAGGCTAACCAGCTATGAATCTTGGCGCAGTCTACCATCTGGTAAACGAACATAAGTATGGAAAATCACCATTTTAGATGGGTAAATCAACTATAAATGGCAATTTTGAATAATTAGCTATGTTAGTTTACCAGAGGGTAGGGCTAGCCACGTTTGCCAGAGGGTATATGTGGGAATGATTTCCAAGCATGGTTTCCAAGCATGATCCCTATTAAATCACCATTTCTAGTGGATTTTCCTATGAGTTTACCAGAGGGTGTGTTTAAGGTCGACCATGAAACACTGGGTGTTGTTCTGTTCAGCTTGTTCCGCTGAGTTGGCATTTGGACACCTGGCTTCTCCGGATGTGTTGGGAGCCTTCAACACGCTGCTAGTGGCGCCTTGGCCACCGAAAAGGTGCCCAAGAAGACAATGGAGATGTGATGCGATATGCGACCTATTCTGGCTGGTGGTTTGGAACATGTTTTATTTTTCCATATTGTGAATAATCATCCCAACTGACTTTCATATTTTTCAGAGGGGTTGAAACCACCTTGAGAATAGGAGATGCCCACAAATAGCAAGTTTCATGGGGAAACTGCTGATAAACCAATGGATTTAGAGGTATCCGATTTTCAGACAAAGCTATTCGGGATTGCTATAAACCACATTGTAGCAACTCTATTGTGACGACTGGTTGTTCAATGCTATTTTGTTCCCTCTCTTACTGGGTAAACAAGGTTCCTCATCACCTTTGGGGTATGGCAAATTCATGATGTACAACATGTTACAACTATTATTCAACCAATGAGTCATGTTTAACTCTATGCAAAATAGATCTTAAACAGGATCTTGAAATCACCCACGCTTTCGGGATTTTGCTGGTAAAAGGGCTAACCCGCCAACCAATGTTTTTCGGCGGGAACTTCCCATCAAGGCATGCATTTGCTGGTCCTTTGCTACCGTCTTGACACCGCCGCTTGCTTCGCAAAAAAAGGGTCATCCTAATTAGGTGCTATACACAGGGATAGTATGTTATATGTTGGTATGAGAGACCAAACATGTGTATAGTAGTATAGTAACATATAGCAACATATCACGAAAGGTAGCTCCAGAGGGGCTACCTTGAGTTTTACTTTACGAAGTAAAGGGGAGGGCGGCCAGCCCCGTTACCTGATTCTTCAGGAGATTGCTAGTCATTTTAGTACCCCCACACCTCCCACGCACCCTAAGAGCAGACTCAAAACATTGTCATTTACAGTATTTTTGTTCTTTTCGGATCAAGAAACCACATTTTGCTACATGGTGAAACCTCCGTAAATACCAGTGTTTTTGCTAGGTGCTGGCCAAAAAACACTGTAAATACCGTGCTTTTTACTACCAGAGGCAAAAAACATCGTAAATACCGTGGTTTTGGGCTTCCGACCCGCCAAAAACATCGGTATTTACGGTGTTTTTTGCTCCGAGAGTTGCAAAAACACGCGAAAACACCACCGATTTGACGATTTTCGGCCACTACGGAACCGAGCAAACACGCTGCAGGGGTAACACCAACACCAACAACAACAACACCAACAGCAACAGCAACAGCAACAACAACAACAACGACGACAACAACAACAACAACAACAACAACACACAACGCACAATGCACAACGCACAACGCACAATGCACAATGCGCACAACGCACAACGCACAACGCACAACGCACAACACACAAAACACACAACACACACACAACACACACAACACACACAACACACACAACAACACACAACAACACACAACAACACACAACAACACACACACAACACACACAACAACAACAACAACAACAACAACAACACACAACAACAACAACACAACAACAGCAACAACACACAACAACACACAACAACACACAACAACACACAACAACACACAACAACACACAACAACACACAACAACACACAACAACACACAACCACACACAACACACACAACAACACACAACAACACACAACAACACACAACAACACACAACAACACACAACAACACACAACAACACACAACAACACACACCACACACACAACACACAACAACACACAACAACACACAACAACACACAACAACACACAACAACACACAACAACACACAACAACACACAACAACACACACACAACAACACACACACAACACACAACAACACACAACACACACACACACAACAACACACACAACACACAACAACACACAACAACACACAACACACACAACACACAACAACACACAACAACACACAACAACACACAACAACACACAACAACACACAACAACACACAACAACACACAACAACACACAACAACACACAACAACACACACAACAACAACAACAACAACAACAACAACAACAACAACACCATCAACAGCAGCAGCAGCAACAACAGCAACAGCAACAGCAACAACAACAACAACAACAACAACGAACACGAACAATACCAACACCAACAACACGACCAACAACACCAACACCACCAACAAACCCAACCACACCAACAACACTAACAACACTAACAACACCAGAAACACTACCACCACCAACAACACCAACACCAATACCAACAACACCAACAACACCAACACCACCAGCACCACCAACACCACCAACACCACAACCACCACCAACCCCAACCACATCGCCGAAGCCTTTCAGTCGCTTTTACCAGACTCCCCTTCATATTTTTGGAAAGAAAATGGCCGCGTCGCTTTTACCAGACTCCACTTTATGTATTTTTCCCTCCCCTCTCCCCTTCATTTTTTCTTCGGTTCCTTTCTTGCTTACCTACCTTTCGTGTTCCCCCTCTCAAGTTGTAACATTATAGTAAGCCAACGAAAATATAAAGAAATGGAAAATCAAAGATCGAGCAGTGATTCGAGGAAAACTGTTCGATCTTTTTGGAGGTTGGCTCCCTTCAGTACTTCGATGTACCTACCATAAACCCGTGGGTGCATGTGGCGTTATTTCAAGCAACAAGTCGCGTTCAAAAATTCGGGCAGCTCCTATAATATTTGATGGCGAGTAAAGAAACTTTGCTATCTAAGTCTATGGGTAATAATCCATTGAACTGATGCACGAATATTTCTGGTTGGTGGTTTGGAACAAGCCGTGGGCTCTACACCTACCAGCAGGTGCGGCCGTGCCCTGCTGATCGTAGAGCGTTTCGTTCACCGTGTTGTGCCATGGATCGTCATGGATCTTGCTGAAGTTGATGCTGGAGGTAGCTCTCTGATGTGGTCATGGTGGTCGTTGATCCTGTGTATGTGCGCCACTTGGTCCTCTGTCCGTGATGGGACTGGTCTGGTGCGTACTGGCCTCTTGGATGGAGCTCCTGAAGTGCTCACTCGGTTGGATGTTGTCCTGGTGCAGCAAGTCTCTATTCCGTTGCTGAAGGTGGCTGATGGTGCTAAGGTGTTGGTTCACTCACTGCATACCTGGGAGGACTTCCTCAAACTGGTCGATGCTTGCTACAGGTTTGATGGTCCTGCACATGGGGCCCATGCCGTTGGTATGCAAACCATGGTAGCTGTTGACTCTAGTGCCCGTATGGTGACCTTACACAAGGCTCCTGGAGGATGTGAGTATGTGATCGGTGATGCTGGCTGTCCCCAGGTGATCGCTGGAGTGTGGTCCACGTGTAATCATGCTGCGGTGAAGAGTGCGGGATTTTCATGTCAGCCGTTTTCCCAGTTGGGTGATTGGAAAGGAGGGGCAGACCCTTGTGCTATGTCCCTTCCTAACAACCTTAGAGCTGCACCGTCTCAACGTGTCCATGGTTTGGTGTTTTCATGCGCTGTCCCTGCATGCAGAGATTCGTTCATCTCGCAACACCGTGATAGGTTTGTTGACTGGTCTGGAGTTGTGAAGGAGAACATCAACCTTGAGCTCTCTGCTATTGGTCAAGTGCAACCGTTGATGCAGAACCAAACACAGATTGACGGGCAGTTTCTGGAGTTCACCCACCTTCAGTCTCAACAAGTTTCGAATCCACAGGCCCTGATGCAGGCCCCGTCTCAACACTTTTACGGCCAAAGTAAGACCCAGTATCAGTGCATCCAGGCTCTGTTTGAGAATCAGCTTTCTCGTATACGTGGCTTGTTGCGGAAGCGACTGCGAGATGATGGTGAATGTGGGGGTGGGCCTGAACTGCATGGTTCTCACAGTGGTATGATGATGATGGGGTCTTGTTGTGCCGTGTGGGTTCTTGCTGCTCTTATGCCCTTCTACCAGTTTTTGGGGTTTGTGTCAACTGCCGTTTTCGCCGGGGCCGGCCACTGTGTCAGGTCTTGGGTGGTTACGCTGTTGCTCCTTTTCAATGTTCGTTGGCTTGGAGAGACTTCTTCTCCTGGTCCGGTTAAGTTCAGTTTCACTCCATTCAGACGGCAGTCCCGGGCTTGCCCAGCTGCCCGTCCCCTTGGCCGCGTTGCCACACTGACCTAAGAGTCACCACAGTTAAAGCACTGTCTTCTCACCCCAAGACAGTGCGCCATACAAAGCGGTACAAAGTGGTGGTTTGGAACATGAATTTTATTTTTCCATATGTTGGGAATGATATTCCCAACTGACTTTCATACATTTTTCAGAGGGGTAGGTATACCAACCAACCAGTTGATATTTGGTTAAAAATAAATGTGGGATTACTAGTTGCCATTTAGCTCTCCCACTGAGAGCTTGGGTTACCATACAGATCTAGGGGATCAGAACACCAGGAAGCTCGGGTCACCAAGACCATTGGTAAAATGGGGATGTCTAGCAATCCGACGAGGAGTTGATCAAGAAACGAAAGATTGAAATGAAATCAGCTGTAAACTTGGCTGATCAACCAAAGACATTCCGGTTGGCAAAGCCAAACACGGTAATGTTTTGATGTGTTACCCTCTGGCTATTTAACATAGCCATGGGAAATGGGCCATAGAAATAGATGGTTTACCTATTAAAAATGGGTGGATTTTCCATGGCTAAGTTAGTCATAACCAGATGGTACTCTTCAGTGATTTTGCTGGATGGTTATTTGGTATGCTGCTAGAGATTGGCCTTTTGCAGATCCAATTGATTGTGGTGACCACGGTGACCGAACTTGGGTGGATGAAGCAAAAAAATAGGGTGGTACCCAGCACTATTGTTTGTTGGCTTATATTTCCTTTCTGAACTAATATAGTTATATATAACTTATATATAACGTATATAGAACTTATATATATATATATATAACTTATATATAATATAATGCTTTAATTAGCATATATATAATATATATATGTGGGGACTGGAGCGACACCGGGCATAGCCACTTATAAGCATTATAGAGTGCCATTTGCGAAGCAACACGTTCCCGATCCGCTTCCGACCCGGTTCCGATCCGCTTCGATCCAAGTCTGATCCGGTTCCGATCCGGTTGCAGGTGTGGTTCCCGTCTGGTTCCGGTCTGGTTCATGTCTGGACGCCTGACAAGGGGGATGCTGAGCACTACCTATAGACACCACCGATCGCACCATCCGCAAGTCGCAAAAAAAAACCGCGACCAAATCCCACCGCAGATTGAGCACCACCGGTTGCACCGCTACATAAGCCCCCCCTCCTGCCCAGCAAACAGGGGGTATGTTAAGCTAATAATAGGGTTTTATCAATATATATAAGTACCATAAACCATAGTTTTTTTGAAGTTATAAAACAACGGAGCTAACTGCAGCACCACGCTGCATATATATATATATATATTATTATTATATTATATATATACATACATATAGGTACAGTGAAACTTGTGCATTCTACATGTAATAGCCTTGGTCAACTAACATAGATTTGGAAATTCATCTAGAAATGGGTTTGTCGTCCTCCTCACCTTCCTGGTGCATAGGCTCTGTGCAGATAGCTCATTGGCACCTCGGCTGAACAGGGCCACTTCCAGGTAAGTTTTTCCTGCCTGGCTAGGTTACCCAACTGGATGGATAGTAATGGTTAGTGGTTAATGGTTATCAATGGCTATTAATAATGGTTAATGTTTTATAGTAATGGTTGATGGTTAGTAACTTTTAATGACGATTACTGGTGAACCAACTGGATGGATAGTTTAATCCTGAGCAGTCTTTTGGTATGGGATGAACTGTGAAAACCAGCTAAGGATTATTTGTTTGTTGGTAGGGTATCTGGCTGATTGGCTATGGGAAGAAACAACTAAAATAACCCATAGGATCCATGGTGCTGGTATATATGCTAACATTTGGGGTATATTGATGGGATCCATGTTACCATATATGGCAGCACCATGGATCCTATGGGTAATGGGTCAAAGATTGTAACCCAGCTTTCTTTGTTAAGCTTACGCTTACACTGTAGTCAGATATTTCTAGTCAGCGCGCTTTCTCAACAGTTTCGCACCTGCGATGAAATTTTCTGGGCAGACAGACGTTTCCGAAGAAAAAAGACTACAATGTGAGGCCCCCTAGTTATAAGTTGGTTTATAGCCCCATCTAACTATATAGATATATCACCTATAAACCCTAGTGAAATGTTAGTTATGTTCACCAACTGAACGCTATCCAACGGGGGCCTCACATTGTAAGAGTTAACCAAGTACTGACCGGGGTTCAATGGGATTATGGGATGAAATGGAAGTATCCTCTGGTAAACGTTTACAAAAAACGATGGAAAATCAACATGTTTATCTAATGGGAAAATTCACTCTTTCTATGACTATTTTCAATAGCTATGTTAAATTATCAGAGGGTATTTAGAATGAAATAATGTGGAATAATGGAATTACAGGGATTACTTTATGGAATAATCACGGGATGATATGGGATTAAATGGGATTATTATATATATATGGGGGTAATATGGGATAGTGACTGCGAAGAATAATGGATGATGAATGGGGTGCCCCCCAACTGAGATAACAAATTGGGGAGCAACTGGGGCACGCTTTGAAATCCCTAGGTGATATGTCAATGAGCTTATGGACTTCTGTTGATCTAACTTGGCACTTGTGTGTGGGTAAGAGCAAAAAGAAAGAGAGAGAGAGAGAGAGTGGGAGGCTGTGAAAACCTAAGAAACGTTGTGTAAATTTGTCTGATTTGTCTGCTGTTTGAAGTCGTAAAGAGAACACGTGTTTTTTGCTCTTGAACTTTCCCTCTGGTAATTTGTTACATAGCTATTAAAAATGGCCCATAGATATAGTTGATTATGTTGATTTACCTATTAATAGCATGGTGATTTTCCATCGTTTTTTTAAACGTTTACCAGAGGATACAACGGATTTTGGCTGTTACAACATGGCAAGCTGCCGTTGCGGGATCCAGAGCGTTTGGATCAGTTGGTTGGGTGCTCCACGGTGCCCAAAGTGGGAAGATCTTTGATTGGATTACCCTCTGGTAAACTAACATAACTATGGAAAATCGCATTTTTTTTTGGGAAAACTCACTATAAATGGTCATTTTCAATAGCTATGTTAAATTACCAGAGGGTAACCTGTTTCGATGCAGGGTGATTGCGCTGGTGTGCGTTTGATTTGAAAATTTGAAACCCATCCAACTGTAGATATAACCAGTATTTTCATCCCACTTCACCTAGTGACATCTAGTGACCCAGTTAAACACCAAGTTAATTATCACACTGCACATATTACATCCAACTTTTCTGAAGTTAAATGCCTTTTTTGTTTTTGGTGAAATCTCAATTTTCCCAAACACTTCTGCTGGTTAAATTCATTTTTGTCCAACCTTCTTTGTGTTAACTCAAACAGTTGAAAAGCAAGTTACCTAATTATCACAAAAAATACAAATTATAAATCATCATAAAATACATATATATATATATATCATCAATAAATCATCCATAAATCATCACTTGACATATAAATCATCAATAAATCATGATAAAAAACAACAACAAGTTTTCCTTGTGAATGTCCATTTTTTACCAGGTCCAAAATCTGCCGGAAAATTCCGGTCATCAGGGGCTCTTGGTCTTCATCCGGATCGCCCTGGGCTTTTTCGAAGCTGCGAGCGCCCCATGAAGCTCGAAGCGGTTTTTCCGGGGGAAAACCAGGATTTCACCCTGAAAAACCGAGGTTAACCAACTGGACGGTTAGTAATGGGTAGTGGTTAATGGTTAATGGCTATTAATGATGGTATATGATGGTTAATGGTTCATAGTAATGGTTGATGGTTAGTAAGTGTTAATGACTATTCATGGTTAATAATGGTAAATTATTAATAATGGTGCATGTTTAGTGGTTGAAGGTTAGAAACTGTTAATATTAATGGTTAGCCAACTGGATGGGTAGAAACTAATCCTGAATAGTCTTTTGGTATGGGATCATCTACGTTCACCAGCTAAGAATTTAATTTGTTGTAGGCCATCTAAGATTGGCCATGAAATGGAACTTAAAGTGATGAAAATAATGGGAAAAACATGGATTTAAGCATAGAAGCATCGAGAAACGCATGGATTTAACCTTCGAACAATCGGGAAAACACATGTTTTAACAATCGAAACATTGGGAAGACACATGATTTGACCATGGAAACATTGGGAGACAATGGACGTTAAGCACGACATGAAAAAAACATGCATTAACCATGAAAAAATGAATGTATTTGACCATAGTGCACCATCAAACATGGACGTTTAACCATAGAAAATGTTGGCTTCACTCAGCCAGAGAGAACATGGAGGTTGAATCAACGAACAAGTGTGGAAACAAGTAACATTATATATATATATAACCAGAATAGCGATATTATTTCATGGGATGTCATTGATAAAATATGCGTTTCCTTGCGGTGATTTTGTTGTTTTTCCTCCCAAGAGGAATTCCATCATTGCACCTTTAATATGTATATGTTCTGCGGTTAAGAAAACCCATGACAAGTAGACTGGGTGGTTTATAACCATAGAGCTCTCGATATTTCGGGGTTTTTCTTGGTTAGATGAATTGCAAATTTTATCCGCTACACGTTTAACTTTTACCAGGGGAGCATCAACCAGCACAAGTGACCAGCCAAAGTACCAGATTTCAGATCCGAAAATCTGGACTGGTGGGGGATGTTGTGCGATGTGTTGCCTATTGGAGAACCGTTCTAAAACCATCAGGTTGCATCAAGCTTGATACAAGGGGGAACAACTGGGTAGCATGACCAATTCCTGAGGCTTGTGGCTACAATGTAGCTATCTTGGGCTGCTTGGAGTATCATCCCACTCAGTAAGTGGTTAATAACCCTGCTTAGTAAGTCCGCTAGGTAGGGTTATTCGATTTATAAGTGGGTTATAACATTAAGGTTATTAATCACTTACTAAGTGCGATAATCCTCCAAGTGGGGCAACCCTGAACAAGCAAAGATATCAGGCCCAAATGACGATCAAACAGTGTCAGGCTACGCGCATTGGTCATGGGTTTCGCCTTGCACCTGAACATCAAGATGATCATCAAGTTTAGG